ACGATCTGAGTAGGGTTTCATAAGTCAATTTTCAAGGGAATAAGGTGAATCACCGAGAATAAGAGGACCAGTTTCTATATTATTAATTATTTTGTTTAAGTTATTAGGTAAAAAGGTTCTGGCTAGACACTCTTTATATAAAGGAGAATTTTTAAAAACTCTTGAATCGTGAGATTTGCCAGTCCACCCAACAAAAATATCTCTGAATAAGTACTTGCTATCTGCCAACCCCTGTAATATAATGGAGTGATAATCTTTTCTGTTTATATAATCCTCTGAATTTTTATAAGGAGCTTTTATTCTAATGTGACACCCATCAACTGCTCCAACTACTTGTGGAAAACCATATAGTTTTTTAAAGCTTGCTATTATCTCTATTGTCTCTTTCCTTGAGGGTAAGAAAATTTATTTTTTCAGTAAATTATCAACAAAAAGTTTACAAACTTTATGAACTATTGTACAAACAGTAGATTTTCCCAAGCCAAACAGGTTGCCTATTGCCTATACAGCTAACTTTATTTCTTTAGGCAAAGATTTGCGAAAATTAGTTTCTTGTATAGGCATAAAAATTGAAACTTCCTTGCATAGATAGTTAAAGCCTGCTTTTGAAATTCTTATGTTTTGAATCCAATCGTCGTCGTTCCAACAGAACGACATAGTTTTGTACCAAAAGTGCTGACTGCGAGGTTTAGTCCAAAATCTTCTGTGAATAGAATAATTATAAGCACGGATACAGTTAATCAATATGCGCTGTAATTGCATTCTTTTTTTTTTTTCTTAATATATACAAGAACACTCTTAATTTAGAGATCAAGTTTTTATTTGAGAACGCCATTTTTAATGTTGAGATTAAAACATTTGATGTGAACGCAAAAAAACTGAAACGTGTTTTAATATAAAACTGGTTTTCCTTCAAAACCAGTTTAGTTTAAAACAGCATTTAGTGTGAACGGAGTATAATTGTAAAAACAGAGAAAAATTACACGCAAAAAGTGTTAAGGTCCATTTTATTCAATGCTTTGGTTATTTTTCAATCGTATGCATAATTTCAACCCAATTGTTTTATAAACGAATTATTTTAGCAGATTTTAAGTAAACATAATGTTTTAATGATTCTTGCGCACGAAGTGACAAAAAATATTATTAGAGAAAAAAAGTTTGTAAAAATTGAAATACGCTTGCTTTTTTGTTATTTATTCTTAAATGATCAAACCTATATGAGGACCGAACTCAGGAAATTTTACAGTATTAGAAAGTATATGTTTGTATGATTTTTATGAATATTTCGTTTGTATGATTTCGAAAGAATATAATTAATCTTGATGCTAAATAAAAAAAGTTATTATATTACGATTTTAAAATAAATAAAATTTATAAATGTAAATGGTTGCTAAAAACGGGTGTCCTTGAATTAACTTGTTTAAAACAATCTTTTATTTTAAAGTATACTTAATCAAAAAACTTGAAAATGTTGTAAAAAAAAAAAGTTATATTTTTATATTTTTTATAATTTTTTCTCTTTAGTCTATCAGCCTATTTTAGACTACACACAGATTCAGAACCTGTATGAAGATCAAGTAAGTTCAGTAAATTAACATATAATTCTACATAACACGTCTTAAATAAAGTCAACGACTTGATCACCTACAGTACAGCCAACACATCATCATTGAAAAAATACCCACAAATCTTAGATAACCGATGTTGCTGTCCAATCTTTTATGGATTACTAAAGGTAGACAAATATAGCATTCTCTGATCAAGGTTGTGCAAAAACCAAAAAATTACCTATCGTAATTTGTTACTGAAAATATCCGACCCATAAGCAAAATTATCACCTGACTACTTTAAGCATAGTACTAAGTTTTCATTGTTTCTAGAATAAAAGCCATAACTAGCCAATACTCTCCTAAGCCATTACTAGCCAATACTCTCCTAGCCAATACTCTCCTAAAGCTGTATAGCCTCGGAAGAGTATTGGATAGTCATTGCTGATGTAACATAATTGAGTACGAATATCCCACACCGAGACAAGATGGAGCCCGTAGCACACTACCTGCACCTCCATTCAAATTTCACATCAGAACAAAATTTGACCATCACCAATAAATTTTCTTAATTAATCAAAAATTATAAAGGATTCATTAATGATTATTACTTTACGTTTCATGGTCCGAAAAAAGAGCTAAACAGCGTTATGAATTTTTGAATGGACTATCAAATTCACTATTCGTACATCGACCAAATTCTTTGCATTGATAGATCTTTGCAACAAAGGATTAAAATTCAATCTTCTTTAAAAATCCTCTAATGCTAACAACCTCCCCCAATTTAAATCACATTACTCACGTCTCAAGTTTTTAAAAACACTAAATCATTAAAAGAAACTGTAATTCATACCAAGTTCCATCAACAACCAAACAAGCAGCGCTAAAAGAAAATTAAACGAAGGGAAATTTTTGTAAGTTATTTATTTTTTGTAAAATTTACCAATATTGATTTATTTATATTATAAATTTAATTGGATGTTAGCAGCCTTATTAAAAAAATAAATAAGAGGGAATTCGGTATAAAAATTAGATTACAAGTTTAAGTGGAATTTATACTACAAATTTATAATCCAAATAATCTATTGTAATCCATTTTATAATGATACAAACTTTGTAAGTTTGTTTAACCAAGTGGTTAATGCAAGCTGTTCTACATCGAAGGCCCCCGTTGCCGAGTCACAGTTATAATTTATATTTTATTTAAAAAAAAAAAAATTGTTTTAATGACAAATCAAATAAAAACTTTATTTAGAGCGGACGTTTTTTCAAGTACCTTTTTAGGAAGTCCGTAAAAACGAGTCTTACGAGAAATGAGTAATATTGAAAACAAAACCTGTTTTTTGCGGCCTTATTGTTTTTATGTTGGCAAACTTGAACCTTTAGCCAGACAACTAACTTTTCTATTGGTTTACTGGAGAATTATAGACAATGAGACGGATTATTTTATTTTAAAAAAATTAGTTACTATTTATTCAAAAACATTTAGTTATTAACAATTACTTGTTAATTGTGATAATTTAGAATTTTTTTTTAATTAGTGCGTACGCACTTTTATATTGACCCCTACCCTTTTTACACTATTTGAAGACCCCCTCCCCCTATGAGCGTACGTATTTTATGAACGGTCCCAAATTAGATGACTATTAAATTACTTTATCGTGTATATCAAAGCCCTACACGTGTAAAAGTTGAGGAATTTGTTGCCTTATTTAGTTTTTGTCTCGGTTGTATTAAATTACACTGTATTTTTATTTTCCTTATTTAATTACGCTTTTATCCTTACTTTGGATAAAAACGTACTTTGGATAAAAATGTAATTACGTAATGTGACTATTATTGGTACGGTCCATATTTATTTTTTACTCATATTTATTAGATCATCCGTGGTGTAGCTTTAATTTTTTTAAAGTCCATATACTTTAGTTTTTTAAGTCTAATATTTAAAGTCTATATATAGGATATAAATTTATTTATTTAGTTATTCTTTTCATCCCCCAAAATTACAGGTGAAAAATACAAAGGGCATAAAACTAATAGTATTTACCCCAAGTTGAAATTCTAATTTAGATTCTTCTTGGAGTGCTTTCTTCTATCAAATTTTTGAATATCATTTTTTGCATAAAATTATATTAATTTGATTTTATATAACCTTAAACTGTATTTCCAGTGAGATAAAGCTATATTTAATTAGATTAATTATATTTTATTTCATTTTAACTCCTCGCTTGCAACGATTTTTTTTTGTTATTAATATTCTCATACATTAGAGTTGCTACACTTAAAATAGAACAAGATCAAGGCTTTGTAGAAGATAGTCATCACTGTTGCAACATAGAAGGACTCGACGTTGAGAAAATTTTTATCCGCTAATTTCAAGCATGAATTCTTTAAAAATCCCCAACGGGATTTTTAAAGACTGAGCTAAAACATTCAAAACGTATCAGAGTATAGATACTCCTTAAAAGAATTTATACAAAAACCATTTCCTAATAAGAGTATATTATTGCACTACTAAATTCATGAGTTTATTTAATACTGATGTATTTCTCACTATATTTTCTTATTAATTTACGAGCACCCCCCTCCTCTTTATTATTAAGATTACTACTTGTTTGTATTATTACTAATCCAAAAAAGTAAATTAAAGTAATCATTATATCATTAGTTGTCTTGTATAAATAAAAAACCTCAGGATTAATACAACAAAAACTAATTGAAAAAACAACAAAAATATATAAATGTTAAGAAATACAGACAGTCCCCAGAAAAAACTATTTTGAATAAAATTTCTGTAAATTCATTAAATAAACAGCTGTTATATTTTCATGAACTTTTTTAATTAAATAAATAAAAAATAATTAAAAAAAAAACACTGACACAGAAAGTAAAAAAAAACGAATAAATAAAAAAAAAAGAAAAAAAAAAAAAAAGAAAAAAATATATATATATATATAAAAATCCAAAAACTTTACAATCGTTCAATAGTAACCATGGTGATAAAATCTGTCTGTCGTTATTTCAAATCATTACCATTAAATGAAATAATACACTGCGTGCCAAACATCAATATAAATATTACTTAGCATTTTTTCAGTAAAGAAATAAGAATTTAAAAGAAAAATAATAAACTTAATTTCATTACCTTCTTCAAAATGAAAAAGAAAATCTGTAAACCAATAAAAAACATATATTACAAAATTTCAAGTGACTAAAACACCGATGAACAAAAAAACAAGTTCACCCCTGTAAGACATTTAACAGGTCCATAACTTTTGTGAAAAAGTTTATAGAAAAAAATAACTAGAACGAATTTGTTTTTAAAGTAAAAATTTTCGTTTTGAATTACAATTGAGTAATTCCAAAAAATGTATACCAGTTACATTTCCCTAATAAAATAAGTCTAAATTCTTTTTCAAATGACATATAAAAATAAAATCAAAATAGAAAAAATAAAATACAATTTATAATATCGATGATAAAATCTACAATGGGGTTAACTGCGCAACCAATGATGAGAAAATCTACAATGGGGATTGGTGACTAATGATGAGAAAAGGTGGGAAACGCTATAGTATAAGAGCGTTTGCTGACCGAGTTAAATAAGTCGGTTGGCTAGGTGAACGAATTAATTTTCTTTTTGGTAGCCTTTCAAAGGCTTTAAGTATTTTCTCAAAAGAAGGTCTGTTCAATGGATCATACGCCCACATCATCAACAAAATATCCTACAAAAAAAAAAAAACAACACAAATCCATAACAATAAAAATTTTTTTTTATCAAAATTCTTATAAGAATTAAAATTAACAATTGAAACCTGACTAAGTATATTTGAGATTAATGTGATTAAAAGGATTTTTAATTACACTATTACTTATTGGTATTTAAATATTAATAATAAAAAATTATCAATACTCTTATAATTTATATCGTTAATTAGAGTTATTAACTAAAACTGAATTTATAGTTACTTTTTTTATAAAATATAATAGAACTCGATACAAAATTTTATATTTAAAAATTACCTTGGCTTCTCTAGAAATTTCAATTATTCCATTTAGAGCTTGCTTATAGCCTTTTCCAATTTTCCATATTACTGTTTCACTATGCTCATCCTGGAATGGCCACATACCTGAGAGGAGTTCAAACCAAACAACACTGAAAATCAAAAATTGTTTTTTAAAATATTTATTAAAATAACTTGTTTTTACTTACAAATTATGTTTTAAATTACGATTTAGACTTGTTTGAAATTTTCACAAAAGTATAAATGATAATAATAAATGAAAATAGAAACTAAGAAAATTTATCACCTTTTGTAAAAGTACTTTTGTAAAAAAAAAAGAGAACAGAATCGAGTTTATTTACTATCAATATTTTAAAATACTTTTAAAAATAAAAAAAATATATGTAAACATGTTCTTTTCTTTGTTTGTTTGTTTGAAAAATTCATTAATGGCTTAAGTTATATTATATGAGGAGAGAAGTTGCAGGGGTGCACTGACCACCCCCTCCCCAATTTTTTTTTCTAAAGGACCTTAGGAAAATTCTAGATGTAAAGGAGTTTTTTTAAATGACGATTGAGCGCCTCCACTTCAAAACCCGTGTCGTCCGACAGCTATGGCAACAAATCAAATTTTCAAACTCTTCTTCTGTAAAATTTCTTATTTGCACTTAAAATTGTCCAATGGCCACAGCTAAATATACAGACATATATACAAAAATACTTATAATCATATCAAGTCTAAAAAATACTGGATAAATTTCTCGCCGCATACGTTTCGGACTTTTAGTCAATAAAAGTTTGTTATTTTTTCAAAATAAAATTAATATGTTTAAATGCGTTCGTTTTTCATTTTAAACTTTAAACTATTATGTTTGCAAATTATTTTGATTTGTATAAATGTCTTTTCGCCCTTACACATGGCCGCGTGGCCCAATGGATAAGGCGTCTGACTTCGAATCAGAAGATTGTGGGTTCGATCCCCATCGTGGTCAATATTTTGCGCGTTTAAATTTTTTTTATTTAACTTGCGGAATTTCAACGGAATCTTAATATCATCAATTTGCGAATCAGACAGTACTTAATAATGATAGTAAAGAAAATTATTTGGCGGAAATGTACTTGATTCACGGGGTAAGGGGAGGGTTTTACATCTTAGTTAATTTCAATTAGTTAAAACGACTAAAATGAATCCATGGTTTTAATCACCCGCGAATCAAGCAGAAAGTTGTCAGGAAAAAATCAAAAAAAATAAAAACAAGATAAAATTTTTCTCGCAACTCGCACGCCAAACTTCTTTATTATTATAAAAGAAACCGAACTTATTAAATATTAGAAAAAATTTTATTATTATTAATATACTTTAAGGTGCAAAAACTTAAATTTAAAGTTTAAAACTTGAAAAGAAAACCACCGTTCACATCTAATAAGAAAAAGTAATGACCACGATGGGGATCGAACCCACAATCTTCTGATTCGAAGTCAGACGCCTTATCCATTGGGCCACGCGGCCATATTTAATAATGAATTCATTTATTTTATATTTTGTAATTTGCAATAAAAAAACATGTAACAAATATAATTTTAGAAAAGGAGAACAATAAGTTGTTTTGCCGCGCATGGAGTCACTCAATAAATTATATATTTTTAATTTTTAAATATATTTTTAAACTTGATGTGTTTTAAGTTACCAAAAGTTTATTACCAAAATATTTGTACAAGATTTTGACTAACGTTACACTGACTAACGTTTTGTAGAATTCTATAGACTTCAGTTAGTTGTAGAATTCTAGTTAGTTCAACTAAATTCAATTAGTTGTAGAATTACAACTAATTGTCAATAAACATAACTGTCCAAATATCAATCCAACAAATAACAAGCGATTAATATCAGTGACGGATCCAGGAATTTGTGGTTAGGGAGGGGGGTATTGAAATATTTTTGGTATTTTGCGTCTACTGAAAAAAAAAAAAAGTCCTCAATTCTTATGATATTTGGATAGGACTTTTAGATTCTGGTGGGGGAGGAGATGCATCCCCCATCCCCCCTGGATCCGTCACTGATTAAAATATTAGCAAGACAGGGGCGGATCAAGGGTACGTCTAGCACGTCTGTAAACGTAACAAAAATAAAACTAAATCTAAAAAAAAAGGTAATATTTTTTTTATTATTGCGTATAAAAATAATTTTTTTACTTAACCGTCAAGTGAATTTAATTTAAGTTTTATTATCTGTATATAAAAACGTATAAAAAAAATTTTTTTTTTTGCTTCTTGTTTTAGAGTAAGTAAAGTTGCTTCTTGTTTAGAGCGGTTTTTCAAATTTAAATAAAAAAAAATCTTTTTTAACTGGAGGTTAAAGTAATATTAAATAAACAATATTTAATTAGAAGGGTCAATGGACGTACCCAGTATTATTTTATTAAACGATAATAAAAAATTTTAATTTTTTTATTATAAATGCAAATATTAATTTCTTTACTTATTACAATTTTTGGACGTATCCAAAATAATACACCCTAAAGCTTGGTTTCCAATAGTTGTAGAAATGTCGTACAACAGTTGTACAACACCTTTGTTTTATAATGGAAACATTTTATACCGTAAGTTGCACAACTTTACGTCGGTTGTACAACAAAACTCATGTTGTACAACTCCGGTTGTGAGTATTGAAAAAATTCTATTTCTGCAACCGTTTTTTTGGTCGCGCAGTTAATTTTTTATTGGAAACTGCACAAAAACTGTAAAGTTAATAAAACATCTTCATTTTTTACAAAATATGACGACAACTCCATTATGTGTGTTTGAAAAACACACATAATGGAGTTGTCGAATGAAAAATCTAAAGCAGCTTTTATGAATGAAGTTCAAAAATTTCCAGTATTGTATGACAAGTTTAATAAAGATTTTAAAGATAAATGGAAAAAGAAAAATGCATGGGAAGAAGTTGGTCGTCTTTCAAACTTATCTCCTAATCAAGCGGAAGAGAAATATAAAAGCATTCGAAGTAGTTATGGAAGGTGGCTGAAATCAAAAAAAAATATTCCATCAGGTTCTGGAAGGAACTCAGTTCCACCTCAGTTTCTTCAGCTCGATTGGCTAAATACTTTTATAGAACATCGCGAAACAACAACCAGTATTTGTTTACCTTCTGACTCCAGATTAGAAACATCGAATTTGGAAGAAAACATTGACATAGTATGTGAGCAAGTTGAAAATACTCATCATCCATTTAATAATGATCATATATCTGAAGATGTGACTACAGAAAACAGCTCTATAAATACTTGCGTGCAAGGAGAGTCAAGTGAGTCAACAATTCACGCTAATAACAAAAAAAAAAGAAAAAAGTTGGATTCTGATGATTTATTTGATAGAACCTTAGTGAAAACATTAGAAAAAATTAACTCCAATATTGAAAATCCGACTCTTGAAGAGCAGGATGAAGATTATTTATTTATGAAATCATTAGTTCCGCAACTTAAGCGATTAAACAACTATTCTAAAGCCTTGGCTAAAGTTCAAATACAAACATTACTTCTTAAATTAGAGTTTCCAGACAGAGGTGAAACTATCTAGCCTATTACTCTACTTAACTGGTCAATGTGGAAAAACTGTACTTTAGAAGTAAATAAACTATGAAGTAACTGTTGATAATTTGTTTAAAAAGACACATTCTGGCTTACTATACTTTTTAACCTATTGATGCAAGAAACATAACATTTTAAGTAAAATTAGATGTGAAGTTACTTTTGATTAATCATTGGAATAGACTAAATTTCGCTTACTATTTTGTTAAGTCTATTGATGTGATAAACTATAACTTATTTTAGAAAATTATGGAGGTATAAAATGTTAATCTTTTATTAATTATTAGGTAACTGTTGAAGTATATCTTTTAACTATAAAAAAAAAAGTAAATTATTGGTTTGTTAAATATAACATATTTTCTTTTATTAGGAAGTTTTGCTTATTACATACATTCTAGTTATTAACTGGACTGTGGCCACACGATTGAACATAGTCCATTTGCCACGAAAGGCTTCCTTCACATGAATTAAAATAATCTTTATAAGTATTTCTTATTGCAATTGCATCAAAAACAGATCTATTACTTGTTGATTTTGAGAAATCAAGCAAACACCCTTGATCTTGTAATTCTTTTCTCCAATCTCCTTGAATAACAATTCCTGAATGACTTTCACTATCAACAAAACCAGTAGGAATATAATGCGCTCCATCTGTTAAACGCAAATAGTTGTGAAGACAAACAGTAGCCTTTATTATATGTTCCACTTTCAATGGGTTTGCTTTAATTGGAGTTCTGTATATTCTCTATCTAGCTGCTAAAATTCCAAAACTATTTTCGATTGTTCCACGTGCTCTAGATAAGCGATAATTAAAAATTCTTTGCTGAACAGTAAGATTTTTACCTAGGTACGGTTTCATTAACCATGGTTTAAGTGCAAATATGTCATCTCCAACAAGGACCGGTGGAACTTTAGGATCAAATTCAGAAATTTTTGGTAAATTAAAATAACCCTTATTAAATGCTCTCCCAAACGTGCTTGCATTTAAAATGGCAGCATCATTATCCCTTCCATAAGCCCCAATGTCAACCATTGTGAAACAATATTTAGCATCACAAATTGCTAATAAAACCATGCTGTAAAACCCTTTGTAGTTATAAAAAGAAGATCCAGATTTTGCAGGTGCTTCAATGCGTACATGCTTTCCATCTATAGCTCCTATACATTGTGGAAAGTTCCAATTTTGATCAAACTCTTTAATAATATTTTGCCATTCTTTTACGTCATTTGGGGCTCGTAGAAAGACTTTCTTGAGAACTTTCCATATTGCACAACAAGTTTCTTCAATTATATGGCAAACTGTAGCTCTGCCAACTCGAAAATAAAATGACTGAGTTTGTTGTGATTCTCCTGTAGCAAGGTATCGAATTGTTATAATTAATCTTTGCGACGGACATATAGAATCTCTACTGGGACAATACTTTTTTGTTAATGAAGATCCAATTAATGACAAAAGATGTTCAAGTCTGTCAGGAAACATTCTTAAATATCGATAAAAAAATTCTCTATCAAATAGCTTCATTTCTTTCACCAAAGAACTAAATGCACCTTGCTGAACACGTTTT